ACAATTAAGCATGGCTTAATTCTTCCATTTTCCAATTTTAACGACTTTGTGGCGAATTGTTATACTAACATGAGTAATATTCAGTCACCTTCTTTAGCACAGTCGTAATAGCAAGTTAATGGTGAGCTGTGACAGCTCAATGACAAAATCTATCACTTCATTACACACTGTTACTCAAAATCGAATGATAGAAGGCGCATGAACTCTTATAGGATTTCAGTTGTTTCTTGCTGACTGGTAAGAGCCAGCGACCACGAAACTTAGGTCAACTAAGGATTACGTCGATTGCTTTCAACCACCTACCAACAAACGTATTGCTCACACACTCTTTTTAAATTATCGACATACTGTGATCGAGTTTGATCTTCAGTGAGAGTTTAGTGCATAAATGTCCTAAACTAAAACGAAATAGCTGTTGACTACTGACTGTATTTCCAACACCTTTTCTTGATACTACCTACTAATCAATTGATTTTGATAACGAGAAAGGCTCAAACCACTTCATTCTTACAATCTTACCACGTGATTACATTCTACACATGACATCAAAACGAATGTGTATTATTATAATTATTGTTATTTATCATCGCCGGTATTATTCCTTTGGAATCTGAGAGGAACACAGGGCTTCAGCGGCTTATCGTCCGTTGAAGTTGTTCATCGTAGTCGTCTTTAGTTGGCTTCACGATTCCTGCTGAAGCTGCAATTCCCTCGGTCTCACACAATCTTCTCCAAACTACCGTAGGCGAGCTAGTGTAAAATAAAGCGTCTCCCATCCAGATTTCACTGCAGGCTCAAACTTGGGTGTGATATCACACTCAACGGTCTCCTTATCACAGTATGCGTTTGTGTGTGTGTGTGTGTTCAATCCACCTATATTTGCTTCTTCATATCTGTTAAGAGATCGCGTCTTGTGAAGTTCGTTAGCAGAGTTCCGCGCCTAGTATAACTGACTAGCTCATTCTAAACCCGGAAATTTATTGAAGTTTCAGTTGGGAACTAGCCACCCTACTGCTGAAAATCATTCAAACCGATGACTACAGAAAAGAAAAATCACAGAGAAGATGTATATTAAACGTAAACTTACTCTTTGTTGAAAAATGGAGAGGTTGAAAAATGACGCGGGTTGGTGAAAGCCTTCAGAAAGCCAGCCAGCGGATGTGTCTTCTTTCAATTGGAAGCAAACACGAATCCGCATATTCATGAATAACGACGTTAAGAATATTCATCATTGAGCAAACTAGATGTGCTGTTGGTATGTGAACAATTTTTGACAGTATGGTTGACCTAAATTCATTGAAAAATGAGTGTGATTCATTTAAGGAAAAGGATAAGCAACAATCTCTTTTCCTATCTATCTATATATATTTTCTCCTTTATGAATAAGAATAAATTCAAGAGCAACAGTGATTTGTGCAGGAATGTAGTCATGTTTGTTCATCAGCATCACAACTGAGCCTTTGTCAGATCGCAGCATGACGATTTTGTCATTATGTTTGAGTGCTGTTTGATGCTCGTCATAAAACGATTTTTGAATATGACACGTTGGTGAAATGAAAGGGTGGTGATATGCAGCGTCGACCAGCTTAGATTTGAGTCAGCTCTACTTGTCTTCTTCAACTGCAATAAGGTAATTCTTTGGATGGATTAAGTTTTCGAATCGATCTGCGACTTCGATTCTATTGGTATTGGTAAAGTTAAATCCAAGGGAAACAGCTTCCATTTCAATGCGATTTAACCTCACACTCGACAGAATACAGATAAAATCCTATGGATTTTCTGGGAAAGCGTCATACTGCTCCGCCTTTCGAAGTATTGACTACACCACCAAATGATTAGGCATTGGTTCTTAGTTTTGAAGTTAAAGATTCTGTTGATTCAGTATGCAGATATGGAATACGACAAAGATTTAGAGGACTTAGTTACTTGATGAGATGGTGAGGAAAGCAGTAGAACTGTAAGCATTCGAGTATTGGTTTGTAGAGATTCGATTGATTGGTTACAGGATTTCATCATGAGCAATGATATCGGTTGGAGAAACACTGGAAAACCTACAGGGAGGATTAGACAGCTGTTTCGTCATAGTCAGAGACTCCTTCATTGCAGTACGCATCCACATCACGGGTTTTGAACGCCGGACCTTCTGGTGAGAAGGAGAGCTTGTAGATCGCTACGCCATTCATTGGATTCCTTTCCCTGGATATTCTGCAACGAATGGTAGTGGTAATTAAGTGATTGCAAAACGATTCTGTGGGGAACCAATGTTGTTCTTTTCAGAAACTTCAATCATTCATTCCTCTTTTCAAGTTTGCAGCCCACTGAGAGAGACAAAGAGGGAGAGTGAGGAAGAGAGAAAAATTATTTTCAAATGATGGTCACTATGAAGAAATAACTTCCGAGTAATTATCTCCTCACACCTGAGTGAAAATAGAACACACCGCAAATAACAATAGACAATAAACAAGATACACGTGGAAGTAGGTTAGTCAGTCAATTAGTTAGTCAGTCAGTGAGTTGGTTAGTTAGCTAGTTCACAAACATAATTGTGTTTACCTGCCTTCTCTACTTCACTCAACCGAACAAATCTCACATTCTCGTGACTGCAATTATTCTCATTCTCCACATTCGAATTCATTCATTAAAGAGAGAGACGATTATTGGTTTCACAGGACTGTGGAGAATCATGAAAATAGGCATATGTCTTTCGATGAATTTGACTTCTTTGTGATTTTACCGTTTTCATGACCATAATTCATGGAAAGAAGGAGGGAAGGACGGATTGTTCCTATGAAGAGGTTTAATTCCACAGCTGCTTCATCCACTCCGATATAAAAATAAATCTGTCAAAGACTCTCAACTATAAGGTCAGAGAGACGTGTTCAGCAGATGTGAACAAAACACAAACTTGAGGAGACTTGTAAACGATGCGTGAATTGAAAACAGCTACACCCGAAAGTTGTTCATTAAAAACACAATAGCCAAGAGATGTCAAATGTACTCTTCTGTACTTGTTAATATATAAGAAGCCTCTTTCTATAGATGTTTATATGTAGGACTACAATTCAAAATTGATGTACCAAGTGAAGTAGTAATCAACAAGTTTAGAAGTCTGTTCAAAGAATGTTGAATTCCAGTCAGCTGGAGATTCTGTATTCCATGCAAGCTGTTGTGATTTTGGAAGTGAATGGATGGATATATGAATTACCTAGACTAGCTAACTAGCTAGCGAGGCATCTCAGATTGTGTCTATGAATTCATCTGATACCTGTCAAGTCAGTTATATTAGCTATCAGGTAAATAAAGACGTTTTTTTAAATCATCAGTAGTATTATATTGAGTCTATTTGTCCGAATAAATCTCAAAGGTGACTAGAATTGAGCAGTAATGGAGACATTTTGTAGCTGAGGTGGATGACAGTGAACTGGTTATGTTCGCTGAGAAGCTGGTTGATAGTTTGATCGCGAAGCCTTCGTCATCCTTCTACACAAAATCTTTAGCTCAGGTTTCAGTATAAAATGAACTTATTTGAATGTTCCCTCCGTGAATGGTGTTGTAATTGTATCTCCTGGCAACCGTTGTTCTGATTGGTTGTTAATTCACATGTCTATCGATTATTTTTATTGATTCGGAATTGGAATTTTCTCGTCATGTCATGATTTATCTTCTATTTAGCTGGTAAAGTTGGTCTGTAGTAATTAACCTGTGTTTGTTTTAATCGCTGGCTGATTCATCTGAGTACCAGCAGACTTCTAGAAATTCTCTGACTGCATTCCTGATGTATCCTCTATTCAAAATTTCTAGATGATCTCAATCAGTAAATCTGTGTCCATAATTATCTACATGCATTGATCGATACCAACAGGTATATGTTTCACGTCTTTTTACAGCCAATTTAAAATGTTGGATTCGCATTTGAAGGGGAGATCAGACATACAATTTATTATTGAAATTAATGAAAAATTTTCAGATTGAAGACACTTTACTAACCCATGAAGTCATCTGATGGTTGATATGAATTGTGTAAAAATTCTGTAGGTCACCATGACAGTCAAAACCCACGACGATGAGACTCTAGAAGCACACAACAACAGTAGATTTGAAATTCGTACATTCATCTTCAATGACAAAAGAGAGCATCTCTGAAATAACAACCAGAATATTTAGACCGTTTGAAATAGATATAGCACACAAGACAGTCAACCAGCAAGGCAGCACAATCACTTCATTCGATATTGTGCAAACAGAAAGAGTTATCAAACAAAAGGAGAAGATAAAATCAATACCATTTACAAAATAAATTGCATGCATGAACTGCAATAAAGATTACATCGGTCAAAGTGAGTGTCCCTTTCGAATCCGAATCGAAGAACACAAATTAGCTGTAAGAGAAGAAGATATCTACTGATAGGAATTTGATTGGGATAATTTTAAATCGAGGAAACACCGAAGATGCAAGTGAATAATTCCTAGAAGCCTACTTGGTACTCAAGTGACTGAGACAACGATTAACAAACACACGCTACTATAGACCAAATTTCCCAGCTAATAGAAAGTAAATCATGACATGGAGGAGGCATTCAAATGAGTTCATTTACGCCGAAACCAGAGGTGAAGTGGATTTTGTCTAGGACAGGGGCAACAAGATCTCCTCAATTAAACCATCAAGCAGCTTCTCAGAGAACACAACTAATCCAGGAATGGAAGCGTATCTTCCACTATCATCTATTGGGTACCGAAAAAACCACGAAACGTTTCTTCATACCAAACAGTCGAAATAACAGGAGGCCACTGCAACTGGCTTAAATCAGCTAACCACTCTGGCTACCTTCATCGACTGATGTCCAACCTATAAGTTCCTATTTTCTGTGTGTGTTACTGCCCTCAATTAACCTCATATTCAGCCAGTTAACTGTTAGGTTAAGTATATTATCCCTCTCTCTTGCTGACATTGTAGGGGAAACTGTAATCACTGTAATCTGAGTTACAAACTGTAATCCAACATGCCTCGGATTAACATTAAGGGAGGTGTTTGGCGAAACACAGAGGATGAAATCTTGAAAGCTGCTATTATGAAATATGGCAAAAATCAATGGGCTCGGATAGCATCATTGCTACATCACAAAGCCACTAAACAATGTAAAGCTAGGTGGTATGAATGGCTCGATCCTAGTGTCAAAAAAACGGAATGGAGCCGTGAAGAAGATGAGAAGCTTTTGCACTTGGCAAAGATGATGCCAACGCAATGGCGAAAAATAGCTCCGATTGTTGGTAGAACCGCAAATCAGTGCTTAGAGCGTTATGAATACTTGTTGGATAAAGCGCAAAACAGGGAGGGATTATCTGCCGAAGAAGATCCAAAGCGTCTTCGACCGGGAGAAATCGACCCAAATCCTGAAACTAAACCAGCTCGTCCAGACCCCGTTGATATGGACGAAGATGAACTAGAAATGCTTTCAGAAGCTAGAGCAGGATTGGCCAATACCCAGGGTAAGAAAGCAAAACGTAAAGCTAGAGAACGTCAACTTGAAATTGCTCAAAGAATGGCTATGATGCAAAAACGTCGGGAGCTTCGTGCAGCTGGTCTCGGAACATTTCTAGGCCTGATGCCCAAAACAAAACCATGCATGGATTATAATTCAGAGATACCATTTGAAAAACAACCACCGAAAGGATTCTTTGATACAAGTGCTGAGAAGCCAGAAATTAAACCTATGGATTTTCAGCGTTTACGACTTTCTGATATTGAAAAAGAAAGTTATATGGAAAGGGAAAAACGAGAACGTAAAAAGGATGCCGAACGTCAGGCTAAACGTATGCAATCAGATTTACCTGGTCTTATTCAACAACGTGGTAATTCTTTAGATGAACCATTGTAAAAACGATCTAAACTTGTCCTTCCTGCACCTCAAATATCTGATTTAGAATTGGAAAATTTAACCAAAGTTGGTCAAGATGGTGAAAATGCTGTCAGAATGGCTATTGAAGATTCTGTTGGTGAAATGGGCTCTGCAACACATCCTCTGTTACCTGAGTGTCCTACGGGGGGATTCGCAACGTCTGCTTTAAGTCTTCAACGTACTCCAATGGCTATGATAGATACTGTAACAAGAGAAGCTCAAAATATTTTAGCCTTACAACAAGTACAAACTCCACTGAAAGGTGGTGAAAATACTCCATTAGTCGGGAAATCCGATTTCTCCGGTACAACACCACGTCTACCAAGTAATCTGTCAACACCGAACATTCTGCTACCGAGTCAAATAGTTGGTGCCATTCCATTTCGTACACCGAATATCATCGAAAATGGTACTCCAAATGTTCTAATGGGTGGTGGTGTTATCGGTGGTAATACACCTGGTCCAATGAGAATCGGTGAACGAAATGGTCCAATACCCATGAATAATACACCGTTAAGAAATCGTCTTAATATCAATGCATCAATTAACGAGAATAATATCGATGCTCTTGATCATCAAGATGGTGCTGCTGCTGGTTTCTACGATATCAATAGTGTAAAAACAAATCTACACAAAAGTCTAGCTAATCTTCCAACACCGAAGAACAATTTTGAAATATTTATCCCCGATGAGAATGCAGTGAATGTTGATGATGATGATAGTACTATGGGAGAAATTGGTGCTGGTACTGTTGATATGGATCAATTTGAAGAGGATAAAGGATCTGCAGCAAAAATTCCTGATCAATCAGATTTAGACAGACAGTCAGAGATAGAACGAGCCAGAGCTGCTGAATTAGAATGGTCTAAGCGTAGTCAAGTGGTGCATCGTTCACTTCCCAGGCCATCAGCTGTTAATCATGCAGTGTTACGCAATATACCGAGTGGTGGTGGTGCAACAAATCAACCACCTCAACAAGAAGCGAATATGACTGATTTGCAAAAGGCTGAAGAATTAATTAAACAAGAAATGGTGACAATGATGCATTATGATAATTTGAATAATCCTCCACCGAATCAACTGTTGGATGCAGCGAAACAAGCGTCGGCTACAACAACAGCATGAATGCTGTTACCCTGTAATTCACAACCGAATCGTAGACGTGATATCCAGTTGACTGTCAGTTAAACAGTGTGTGTATTGCGTTTTACTTTTCTGTATTCTCCTTTATGTCTGGCTTAGGAAATATAGCCATTGAAATTGGAAGATTTGAAAAGACGAACACTGTCTTTGATCATAGGTGTCTGCGCTCTGTTACCTGTATTAAATGTTAACTGGTATCATAGAATGAGTAACATTCAGATTAGGAGTCAAGTATGAGGCAAAGAGGTGATGGAAGTCATTGGATGAGTCGTGAATGTAAATCAATCCAGATGGTTAAGACATATGTTACTCATGACTAATCATCAATCTCCAGGACAAGGATGCCTGTTAGCTGACTCACATACGATCGCTCAGGTTGTTGGGAAAGATCTAGTTTTGGCGGTCGAATCGACACTTGTGATCAGTTCATTAAGTCTGTAACAGCTAGTCTGGGTTAGCCAAGTGGTGATGTAGGTGTAGACCACCTAACACCCATGACAATAATAAATGGAGGTGAATTGGATTGTGGCCATACTCTGAGAAAACAAACCATCGACTGAGTGAAATCATACACCAGGCTCTCTCTGGAGTGGAACCTGAATGGTAAGCGGTGAGTAAGTTGGTCATCAATGGTAGGTTGACTTGGAGGAGGAGGCAGAGCAGGTGATGCGAAGAGGAGTTGAAATCATATGGGTAGACGTGATTCCAAGTGAAAACGTGGTTGGTGAACCGCACGCAATGAAGAAGTGGAGCTGAGGCCTTTATTCCTCTAGGAACTAAAGAAAATAATAAGCAGTAATAATAAATGTGACCAACTCAGATTTTTCAGAAAATGTAAGTTAACTGAAGCTCTGAGTAAAGAAAAAAGAGCAAAATTTATCAAGCAGACGAATAAATCCCTCCTTCCTTCTTTATTTATTTTGCTTTTTTCCGCATGGACGAGTTTTGAAACGTTGGCTTGATGGATTGATCTATGATGTTCTGTTGTGTTGTGTATAGAATTTTTGTCTAGAAAGCGCTTACCTATTTCAATAATGTTTGATTCCTTTCACAGTTGGTTGGTCTTATCGTCATGAGATTACTTTTAGGTTTTTCTTTGCATTTGTAGACGGCAATAAGGTGAAACTATCCACAAGGATAACTACTAGTGCATTACTAAGACACATTAGAGAACTGTCAGTGGACACTAACATTCCTTCGAAAGCTTAAATCGTGAATAGAGATAAAGTTACTAAACACTGGCTGCGAAGGCAGCGGGACCAGATGGGATTCCCCCCTTGCAGAAGCACTGAAAACTGACACAGAGGCTACCTCAGATAGGCTTACACCATCAAAACAAAATGTTTGAAAAGAAGGGAGAGTACCTTTCGATTTGAAGAAAGGCTAACTGCCATGTCAAGCTGTCGAAGAAGGGAAAACTAGGCTTGCGCAAGAACAAGAGTGGAATAATTCCTTTGTCCAAGACAAGTAAAATACCAAGTCGCATCATCCTGGAGAGAATAAACGATGCACTGAATACAGAACACTGCAAGCGTGGAATCACCTGCATTCAGGAAAGGCAAGCTGCAACTTTACGGATGGATCATCACCATTACAGAACAAAGCACAAAATGACAGTCAAACCTCCAACAACCTCGAAAAATTCATCGATTTCGAATAAGCCCTTAACAACCAGAGTTGAGCAAGAAGTGGATACACAACACAAGATAAAGGTTAACAAGGCGGCTTTCAAAGTCATCAGCCGCATACCAGCAAATATCAACTTCATGGTAAGAGCTCGTCTACTACATATCGCTCAGGCTGGCTGTTGGGATACACATTGAGAAACCTCACTTATTTATGTATCCACAAGAACATAGTTCAGACACTATACTTACCTTGGCCATCACTGTTCTAATGATGCTCAATCTGTTGTGGAAATTTCTCTAAATTTATTTGATGTTCATTTTGCAATGCTTCTTATTATAACTTTTGCATCTTTCTTGAAGTGTCTGCAATTCCATTGTGATCTTAACAAACTGATAGTATTTGAGAACATACTCATATTGGTAATGACGACTATTTTAAAATATTCTGTGTATATAAAGATGTATGTATATAATTGTAGAACCGGATGAGCAGGAAATTATCAAAAAAGATATTCTTTGCTCAATTTTTTTGTTTTATCTAGATACCTGACTAAATGAGATGAAAGATGAATGAAGTACCCAGTCTAGCTAGCAGCCATTAAATTGTATCTCTGCCAATTCCACTGCTCCTATCGAGTCAGTGATATTGACTGTTGGTGTATGAACTTGAGTTGTTGTGCTCAGGGACACTTACCAGTGGGGCTGAATGTAGTTGTTGTTAAAACCACCAACAATTCCACAACATAGCTATCATCTATCAAATAAAGATTAACAAAATCTTTCTGTAGATACTGAACACTCTAAATAGGAGAGATGATTGCAATTAGATTATTTCAACCGCAGCTGTGTGTGTGAGTGTGTGCAAAAGTAACATGTCCAACCAGCCATTATTCCTACCCTCCTGGACTTCTGTCGATCTTATGAGTTCATCGATTTTGCCAGTCTATGAATTCTAACTACTATCAGTTAACGCCCGACATAGCGCAACCACTTCGAAATGTCTTCTTCAATGAGTAACTGTCTACAGCTTCAACTGGCTGTATGCTTGTAGTCACATCTTCCCACTAGAACACCAGGTAACCACCTACCTGAATAGGGACAGTCGCTAATGAGTTTCAGATCAATTTCCAAGTATTGGTTTTGTAGGGAATTGATTGATTGGTTGGAGGATTTCATCATGAGCTGACATCAGTTGGTTAAACAACCATTGGAAAACCACCTAAGAGTACTGCCAGACAGTTGTTTTGACCTGCCTAGTTTGGGATTCCTCAATAGTGCGCACCCATGCCGTGGGATTCCAACCGACAAATTACCAATTACAAGGCGAATAAGCTCGTAGACCATTATGCGGCAACTCACTGGGACCCATCGATCCGATGGCCAGCTAGCTTGTAAACTCCAACTTCTGCCAATTCTCTAACGACTGCCACTAGCTCACATCATCAGTGCTTGCGGCGAGTATTCGTCTTTCCTTCCTATCCAATGGTTCTCTAACCGATTTCATTTCATGATCAATGTCCAAAACAAATTTCTTCTATCAGTTTAAACTGCTCAGTGAAACTTTTATTTTTTTTAAATAGAATAATTACATCTGAAAGCTATTCATCTGTATGATATGCTTTTTCATAATGGCTCTATGTGAAAATTCATTTTAAATAACGCAGGTGCCTGACACCTGGAGCTTTCCAGCCGTTTTCTTGTTTTCCGGAAGAAGACAACCCCCGATGGGATAATTTTAGCCCGTATCCCTTCCCTGAGCCAAGCATGGACGAATACACTTCATTGTCAAAGAAAACACCATATTTGAATCTTGATTCCAGGGTTAACCTACCAGCAGAGGAGAATCTCTGGTTCTCTAAAGAAGAGCTTACCTGCAACAACCTTAGGAGTGATATTCTCCAGCAGCCCACTACTTCGGAGCAATGTGAGGGACAGACTTCTTCATATGACCACTTCAATGTACTTATATTTTTTCACCTGTTAGTCCGGAGCTAGATACATAGATCATTATATGTGCATCCTATTGAAACATGTTATGGAACACTACCCAGCATGGCTGCGAGGAGGAGGCCCCTGGTTCATTCACGAGTGCCATAATTGAACACGTCGTCAACACCTGTCACAGCATCTCAACTGACTCATCGTTCAGAGTCATTTACAAAGTAGACGTAAGACCACCTACCAAAGGAAGTGTGTCTCCGACTTCTTTGTACTGCAGATGTCCTCGCTATATGCATAGAAAAACCGGAGCGGTGTGTGTTCAAAAGAAACTAATTCGACCTCTACATTTACCTTGGATGTAATTCGCTCTGTCTCATTTGGTTTCGTTTCTTCAGTTTTTCAAAATATTATTCTTTCAACTTGTTACCATGTTCATCCCATTCACACCTTCAGTCGTTATAAAAAGTACTATTTTCCAATCCTGTGTGTAGTTTTGTTTCCAAGCTACTTGTAATCTACATTCAAACACCTTCAAACTTTCATATTTAGTTGAAACTTATCATGATCCTCAATCATCTTTGTTGCCGCGTGAAATTAAACAAATAACAATCATGTCTATGTTAATATAAACTATATAACTGCGATTGTACAGTTTTGCTAGTGAAGTCGCCAAAAAGATGGATATCTGTTTACTGATGAACTTCTTGTTCTTTTCCCTCTAATTTCCTATTTGAAAGGCATATGTTGGTCAAATAGGTAAACTATCCGACAAACATCTGGAAGTTATTCGTCTGCTTTTAGTTGAAGCAGAATAGAGTTGAGTGGAATTAGTTTGGGAAACATGAAGACATGTAACAACTGAAGACAAGGGCCAGGCTACAGATCGTTTATTAAGGAAAATCAACACACATTTATGGATTTTAATGTACATTATTGCAGATTATTTTTAGTAGAAAATACAGTCTTTTGATTGGTTGTTTCTCACAGAAAGTTAACCTTGCATCTCTTTATGGCTGTGTCAGATCATCCATATGCTAACTGTTCTCATTTTCTCATCACCACTATTGGGGACATAAATATTGACGTTTATTACTGTCTACTAACTTTGGCTAGCAGCCAGCTCTCACCACAGACACACACATAGCCAAACACAAACCAAATACTCAACTATAACTCACATAAAAGAAAGTGTGTGCAAACCTTGTTTAAGGAGTTGAAACACTGAAGAGAGCAGAGAGATAGAATAGAATCATATCAAGGTATGATTATGAGCAGTAAATTGTGCTCGAAACGTCATCAGTAAACATTAATGTATAACACTGTGAGACTTTATCAAAACAAATTTACCCACAATGGAATTACACTCTACCACAGTGCACAAGTTTTATTCTTATATCAATGCTTTCATCTTCT